TGCTTTAAATAAGACCATTTTTGTATACAATCTAGTAAGAATAGATCTCTTTTATTGAACCTCGTTTAAAATTTTCTGAAAATTTTCGGTTGTGTATTTTGAGGCTTTTCTTTAGTAGAACCTTAAATATCTAATCTGAAAATAACATTTACTAACCCTGATATATAAAGTTATGCTTTAAAATCATTGATTTCCTTTGTTCTCAGTACACAACAGATACTTGAGTGTTTGCTGGTAAAACGGCCTTTATGTTATATCAGCAATCTCCAATGCTGTCTATTGACTGAAAAACTTGTTATGGTTATTTAGGTCATGTTCGTCAGTCTGCTGCTTTAAATTTTGAGGAAAGAAATAAGCCATAGCAGTAGCAATTTTCCGTTGGGAAGAAAAAAACAAACAAAAAATCCAAACAGCTCGCATTTGTACTTGATTATTTGCCAGACCTGTTGATGTGAAAGGCTACCACTTATCCATGACTACTGCCTTATATATGCAGACTCACGACAATGGCCTGAGGTGGTGGTGGTGGAACTCCAAGGTAGCTCTCCTGTGGGCTTCCTCTGAGAAAACAAGAACATAGATGCATGTCAAGAAGTTTCTATCAACATATTAAAATACATTTGCAAACAACTCCATTCCTCCCACACATCTGCTCTGTGACATATTGATGACTCTACGCAGTAACGAATTGTATGCTGCTTGCAAAGGGAGGTCTAAGTCCTGCATTTTTTTTTTTAAATCAATTCCACCTGTTGACACTACTTGCAAAGCAGAACTTTAGACCCTCTCTGTACACACATCAATAAGTTCCTTAGTTTCTAGCATTTTTGTTCCTCTAATAATCACCCACCACTTCCAGCACAGCATAGTCTGGAGGGTCCAGAGAAAGGTAATTATTTGGAACAAAATGCTTCTTCCTTGACTTTTGTTTTCCCAAATACCAACTGCTCTTACTGGCAGAAAAAGCAAGTTTTGAACACTCAGCCCTGCTTCCACATACAAGATCTACACCTTCATACTATGGTTAAATGCTTTCAATTGCTATTGAATTGCTGTTGTCTTAATAAGTGCGGAAGGTTGGACAATTTCTAACTTTAAAAATATTCCGAGCCATTGTTTCAACATGACAAAAGCATCTAACTTCAGTTTTCTCATAAACTATGTGAAAAACACAAAGTTTCCCCAGAGGTCACATCCTGGCTTGGGATCAGCTATTTCTTCCCACTTTCAATCCAGCTATTTCAGCCTTCTGATACATTCTGGCTACTTTTTTCCTGGACGGAATTATTCGTACACAGCATGCTGTGTTGTAAAGATAGCTGCTGCTGTTAAGACAAAGGAGACTTTGTACAAACGACTTCTAAGAGCAGCACTTTAACACTGGCCAGTGGAACAACCAGGTCATCTTCCTTGTGTGAACTTCGTATCCCTGATATAAAGAATATAAAGCGCAATACAAACTTGCACAAGCTACGTTATCACCATGCCCCTAGACATGCGAGTTTGGACTTCCCAAAGTGAATCAAGGATCTTTTTCCTTTGTACGTATTTACATTAGCCCCAGAAAACGTAAACTAGTTCGAAGTCAGAGACTTAATGTATGTTTTTTGCTGAATTTGCTTTAAGTACAAATAGCAGAAGTAGCAATTACAAAGAGGACCTTGATTTTGCTGTTTTTTCAGTGGCAGGCTATCTGCAAGTCCTAGTATAACAATAAAAAGCCTCAATAAAACCTCAATACAACCACAATAAAATAATAAAAATTGCATACATACATACTGTACATCACAACGTGGACCTCAGGAAATACACTATCAGCTACAAGAGATTTTACTAGCATTCAGCACAGAAAGTAACATCGAGTTCAAGGCTGTAAATGTGACTACTTCATGGAAATATACATGAAAAGCGCTTTCCTGCCTCTCCTAATCAGAACCCAGTTGTAAAACACTGATTGAGAAGATACTTGAGCATCTCAGATCCTGCAAGGGAAGGCCCTCAGGGCAGTTATATGGCAATTCTTTCCTTTAAGATCTAGTATCTCAGCACCTTGGATCCTGGCACAGTCCAAACTTTATATTTATTTCAGCAACAACACAGTTTGAAGTAGAGATCCCTAGGACACGCTGCAGTCTACTGGTTCAAAGTCTCTTAGGAGAAACTTTGAAGTTGAATTTTCCAAAGGAATTCTACTTTAAGCTCCCATTCCAAAGGATTTCTACTTTATTATTTATTATTCCAAAGGAATTCTACTTTAAGCTCCCAGTTCTTGGACAAAACTCTCTAGGCACTGACCTGTTAAAAGAGAGGGCACTTCACCAGCAATTATGCAAAATGCATAATTGCATTTTGTGGCACATCAGTGTGTCCTGAGATCGCATTCCCACAGAGCCCTGCTCTGGTGGGCACCATCCTTTGGATTCTAGCAGAACTTGGGCACCACCTATGCAAAACACTCAGCATGGTCGTGACTAAAGCAGCTCTGGTCATAGGGTAGTGAGGCAACTCGTAATAATCTCCCTAAACACACTGCATTTTAAGCTTGAGGCTTGCAAATTTAAAAGGGTACAAAAACAAGGTTGTCAGCGTTGTGATTTTGAACTACAAAAATTCTATACAAGTTATGTCTTCAGTCTAATCCAAAGTGCCTAAATAAATTTAAAATATCTCACCTAAACTTCATCCACCAAATAGAATAAGCTCCTTTCTTCATCCACTTCAACAGACCGAACCAGGTAAATGGAGTCAAGTTTGCTCTCAGTCAAGTTATTCTTTATTCCACAGCAGGAAATCATTAATAAAACCGAAAAAGTCTAAAACTCATAGAGTCATTCAGAAGTTCAGACTGAGTAATTGAACCTTGTTTTAAAGGCTTAGATGAACTTTTAAAGCATTTTGTCTCTCCAACTCTTATTATTTCCTCCACTTTGAAATACTAGATGTAAGAATTTCTTAACAGTGGAAAAAAAAAAAACATTTTCATATTTCAACTCCTCTGACATTGTTTTAGCTTTTCAAGTTACACACCCTCTTCATGAAAAAAAAATCAATATATTAATCTGACAAAAGAAAAAAAACCACTAACATAGAAATATCCTTGGTGAGACAAGGATCATTTTTTTTCCTACTTGGAGAATTTTTTCTCTTAAGTGACACTTTCAAATTACTTTCAGATTACCTTTTTTTTTTTTTTTTTTGCAATTACACAATGATCTTGTTTTCAATGCATATTTAAAGAGAACTAATTCATTGCTTTCATGAAAAATGGCAGACTTAAAACATACATGGTTGACAATGCTAAACAACCTTAGAAATTATTTTGTGCAACCAAACTAAGACTTCTCAAATTAAAAATACTATCTGGGGCTAAATACCATTTCAAAGTGTATTAGCAACTACAGAAGAAGCTGGATAGAGGCACCCTGAAACTTTCAAACCAACTTTCAATCAGTATTTTTTTGGAAAAGTCAGGATTCATCTTACATTAGCTCACAAGCTTTTAAGCATACATCGTAGCTCTGCTGGAGCAGAGATTCTGCTTATTGCTCTGTAAACATACATTATCGTTAAAATCTCAATTCTTGTCTAAAGTTCTTAGTAGCTAAAATTAAAAAGATCAAATAGAGGAGGTCAGGAACAAAGGGACATGACTGTTTTGTAAAACTGTTTACAGGCTACTTTAAGACTTACTTTATCCATTAGAAATTTATATTTATTCCTCTTTAATACAAAAGAAAAGGCTATTGAAATATATTAAATGTGATCATTCTAAGTGTACAATTTCCAGAGTCATATGAGCAGAAAAAAAATGTTATAAATCATTATTTCTGGGATGAAAGTCATCGTCTTCAATATGGAAATTCCCAGTGCTAAAGTTCATAAACCTGTTTTCCCTGCAAGCTTTAGTGCAAACCTGTTTACACAGGCTCAATCCTAAGCACTTAAGGCAATCACACTAAAGCATTTTAAAATTAGGCGCACGGCTTTTTCTATCACAGATGTGCCTGCTGGCTCTCTTACTTGGAGAAGTGTTTTTGGAACTCTTCATCTGAATTATCATCCTTCTAGCTGATGTACCACTGTGCTCCCAAACACAGCCCACGTAATCACCAATGCGCTTCTTGCAGGGCATGGGTTTTTTTGGAGGTGTTAAGGATGGGAAGAGTCTAACAGCAAACTATCAGCTTCATAGGCAACTCTGCAGAATGGTTATCACAAGGGTTACCAGTCACAAGTTGATTTGCACCTTTACTTTATGTCACATGAAGGCTTTCACAAGCTGCCAACAACATTCCTCTAAAACCACTCCCTTTACACTTATTCCCCTCCATGTATTAAAGCTGATATGATATTCTGGATTTTCACTTTCACTAGCAAATAATACAAATTATACACACCATTCAGCATGTTCACATAGTCTATTCTCAGGCAAAGTCTTATTAAAGCCAAAAGTAAATTTGTCAAAATTGCAAGTAAATGCATCAAAATTGATGCACAAGTTCCAATGAAGAAAAACAAACAAATTCTTTCTACCTCAATCAACCAAACTTGTAAAAAGGACTTCGTCTCATTCGGACTTTTTTTTCCCTACAAAATTGAATTAGTGGTTTTGAAACTATTATCCTTATCATGGCAGAGATTTTACTCTAATAATAAGCAAATGGATCCCATCTAATTTAACAAGGCTGTCACCTTATTAAAAGATGACTATTGCTGCCTGTTCACAGCTGTTCATGAATTTGACAGGTTGGGGCTCAAAACTGAAGATTTCTTGAAGCATTATAGAATTCTACACTGAAAAAAAAAGAAAAATAATTGCATATGTTGTGATCCCTTTTATTCACTGAAACTGCCCATATATATCCTAGGTGGAAGGAAGTAGGTAGCAGAATAGCTGCTCAGTCTTCAAGTGCAGGTGTTTAGTGCTTGTTCTAATATCTTTACATCTTCCTGTTGTCATGTTTCTTCAAAGGACGGTTACTGAAGAGGGAAGGAAAAAATAAAGAGGAAATAGAAGTGTGTATTTTCAGACAGATCAACATACTTCGATTTTTTCATTTGAAATATTAGAGTCAATTTATTTATGATGAAAGTCATCAGAAGACCATTCTCCTGCATTTAAAATATTTTTCCTTTGAAAAAAAAGAAAAGAAAGAAATGCAATGCACTCAAGGTACAACCACAGATGCTGTGGCTTTGCTGCCTGCCTCTCTTCTTTACGTATGTCCATACCAATGACACATCCAGTTCAAAAAAAGTCTAATCACTATCTAAATTAACAGGGTTGTAGTCAGGGTCATCCTCTTCATCTTCCAACTCTAAATCATCCATTTCTTGGAATAAAGATTCATCAACCTCCACACTGTTTCCAGCTGCAAGGAAAAAAAAATAATTTATTTTCCATACAAGCAGGAGAACAAAGTACCTGAACAACAACAACGATAACAAAAACCACAACGGTGTCCTATATTCAGTTTTCAATACACATATCTGTGAAATTACTTAGCTTTTTATATGCCTAATGGGTATGGAGAAAGAAAAAATACATTTTATCTTCTTACAGCTAAAGTGAAGCTTTTGCCTCAAAAATCCCAGTGAAGAGAATTGTGACGTGTGACCTCAAAGTCCATGGAAAAATGAAAGTTAACATTAATAAAACCCAGAAACAGAAATCCTTTCTCCTACCTGTTTTCTAAGTGAGAGCTCAGAATAGTTATAACCACCACAATCACAGAAACTTTTATGGTTTATTAAAAAAGTTATCATAGAATGCTCAAGGTTGGAAGGGACCTCTAGAGGTCATCTAGTCCAACCCCCCTGCACACTCAGGGTCACCTAGAGCACGTGGCACAGGACTGCGTCCAAGCGGGTTTTGAAGATCTCCAGAGAAGGAGACTCCACAACCTCTCTGGGCAGCCTGTTCCAGTGCTCTGTCACCCTCACCGTTAAAAAAATTTTCCTTAAGTTCCTGTGGAACTTTTGGTGCTTCAGTTTGTGGCCATTACCTCTAGTTCTGTTGGTGGCCACCACTGAAAAGAGGCCAGCACCATCCTCTTCACTCCCTCCCTTGAGGTACTTATAGACACTGGTCAGATCCCCTCTCAGCCTTCTCTTCTCCAGGCTGAACAGGCCCAGCTCCCTCAGCCTCTCCTCATAGGGCAGATGTTCCAGGCCCCTGATCATCCTTGTAGCCCTGCGCTGGACTCTCTCCACATCCCTCTTATACTGTGGAGCCCAGAACTGGACACAATACATTGGTGGCAATGAGCCACCACAGAGAGGATCTCAAACCAGATTCAGATTTACCTGTTTGCTTTCAGCATAAGCATTACAAATTCTTCAGGCTCTGGTAAAAACAGCATCTTGCATATTTTTTCATTATTTTTCTTTTTTATGAATTATTAAGTCTCCTTCTCTGCCCGAAAAAGGAGGGCAGAGTAAAAATGGGCATCTAACAGTTTGCTTAAGTGGAATATATAGTCTAACAATTGATAGAAATATTTAGATCGTAATCATGAAATAATAATTAAAGAAGCCATTAACAACACTGTTCACTGTTCAAGGCTCTAACTACTATACTCAAGAACATCTGGCTAGCTCCAAAGAGAACAACATTACATGTATGCTAGGATTTTCTCTCTTTCTCCTGTACTACTGCTCAGTCTAAGTCTCTCCAATTTTGCTTAATCTCCAATTTCATTTTTTAACCTCTTGCATTTATTCAGTTTGTATCATTCAGTTCTTAGGAAGCAATTTTCCCATACACACCTCAATGTTACTAATTTTGCATGCAAAAATAAGTATTAATATATTCTTAAAGCAACTTTTACCTAAAAGCTCTGAATACAAAGATTAATGTATATAGATGCATTCATGAGGAAGCTAAGGAATACCAAGCAGACAGAATTATTCTTTAGAAAGTATTTTCTTCATAAGCAAAGTGGATGGGCAGACAACTATTGAAGACAAGCACTAATATTTCCAGAAGAAGAGACTTTAGATTTCTATTCAGGCTGAAAGTCTTAGAAATAAGCTAAAGCTTTGTATGTTCTTTCACATTTTCTTTGGAAAATATGAAAATTAAGCAAGGGTAAAACTTCAGGGCTTATTGCCAATTGATTTGCGCATGACAATAGCGACATCTTCTGGCCACTAAGAAAGTTTTTTTGCTCTGCTTTTGAAGGAGCCTTTTTAAAAACCATTTCCATCTAAAAGATAAGGGATATGATGTTATTTCAGTTGCCAAAAATAATAATTGCAACAATCGGTTACATTTATGCTAGAAAGCAAACCTGTAAACAATCAGGACTCTTATCACTGATAGCAATGGAGTTAAAGTTAATATATTAATAACAAGATTAAAGTTAACACATTAAACGACATGAAAGTCATATGAAAGATGCGTGCGTACAACCAAAATACAGAGGTCTGTTCCTCCCTTGAATAAGCTAAAAATTCAATGAACAGCCATTTTCACATGGGTATTTTGAAGAAGGGAGAGTAAAAACTGCGTTACAAACACATATTTACCTTCTTCCAAGAACTGGATGTCAGATGTGTCAAGATTGTGATCCATTTCAAATAGCTGTTTTCCTAGAAATTGCAAATTGAAAAATATTAGCAAGCAGGTTTTTGAGATAACTAATATGCCAACATAAGGCCACAAGGTCACAGGATCCTACATCTGTGCAAAAAAACACTGCAAAAGATGAAGTGGAGGTTTCCTAATTGGAAGGTGGGGAGGAAATGCTCACAACTTTTTCCAAATAAATTATCCATCCTTCAAAAAAGTAACAGTAAGCATCTGTATCACTAAGGCAAGCTCCTGCAAACAAGAATGGCTGGTATGCACAGGAAAACTTGTACAACATTTTTTACTTTTACTGGGATTGCATAAAAACCACCCAAAATTAAGCCCATTTTTAGCTTTGTAAAAATGAGTCATTCTATGAATTAGGCTGATAAATATTTGCAGCACGTTAACAAGAACATAAAAGCTAGAGGAAGCCTGATTTCTACTATCCTATCTTTGTAGATGCCTGTATTTCCTTTAGAGCAGTACCAAACGTCTCCTTTATCCTGTATAGCTCTTTAATGAAACTACTGACAACTTGCTGCCTTTAAGAAACTTCTATCTCTCCGTCAAATTTGATCAAAATTGGCCACAAGTTTCAAAAACTATTGGGAAAAAGATGAGATACATGATCATGTTTTATCGCTGTGAAGTTTGGTTTCTTCAAGTAGTTGGAGTTAAAAAAAAAAAAAAAAAAAAAGAATCCAAGGTCACCAGAGAGCCATATGCCAAACAGCAGGGAGCCCTGGGGATACTGCCCAAGACTTTTTTCTTATAATCAGGTTCTCAAAAGAAATTTCCCCATATTTTGCCCTCTAGTTTGAAAGTTTACTTTCTTCTGAACAAACTCAGATTCACAGAGCGTTGCCTTCCTAAAAAGATCGCTCTTCTCCAAAAGTGGGGAGTGGAGGCTGCTCTTCTCACTAGATTGATCATAAACTCACCAAACTGAGCAGAGAGTCTGTGTTACTTTGATCCAGCAACACTCCAAGCTTCAATAGGCACTAGAATAATTTGAATTCACGGTAGGATCTAGTGCAATACTGTCATAGCAATAAAGGCCAAAGTCTGCTGTAGACTGTTTTTGTTGGTTAACAATTCCCAAATACTTTTTAGAGGACAATAGTAGCAGCAGCAGGTCAAAGTGGTTCACAGTGCCACAAATTGGTAAAGAAGCTTTTGGGAACTTCAATGATTTCAGCAGAAATCTTGAATATAACTGCTTTGTACTTAGCCAAATATCAGCACTACAGGCTTCAGTACGAGACTCAAGGACAACAATTTGATAGCCCATTAAAATTTACTTACTATTACCATCTTTAAGTGTGAAAGTCATTATAGTGTGATAGCACTGCAAAACTTCAGCAAAAGTTCTAAGTCTTACCACTTAATTTATTTTTGCCAGCTTGTTCTTCTTCTTTCATTTTTTTCCTTTTTATTTCTAGAAGTTCTGCATCAAATTTTGCTTTCCAATTTAGGAAATTCTCTATTGTAACAGGAGTGCCATGAAATCGTTGCTAAAAAGAACAAAAATCAATGTGAAAAACACAATCAACAGGCAAAGCAACAAGATGACATTCTATTCATGAAATCACAACGCTGTGAAAGCACTGCTTGCTCTAAATTACTCTCATAAATTATTCCTCACCACAAGAGAGCATACGAAAAGTTTATAACTTTTTTTTTTTTTCCCCCAAAAGAGCAAACGAAAAGTTTTTAACTTTTTTTTTTTTTTTTATCATGGGGCCTAGGTGGAAATTATTATTTAAAAAGTCCTGATTAGTACTTTTGGACCTCCAGTGCTAACATATCACTAATACAGGTTATCCATAGATAGGCAGCACTTCTTAGCAACTCATACACACAATCTGAATTGAAACACTTTCTATTAAAGTACTTCAACATTTCTGTCTTGTTGGCAGAGAAAAGTAAGGCTTGGTTAGGTTGGGTTTTATTCCACTTCTCTGCCATTTTCAGAAACGTGAACCTTGCAAGTCCCACCAATCCCTTGCTATTTTTGAGGAAAAATAAAGACTCAGTTGTTCTATTTACTACAGCACAACCCCATGGATAGAAAACCATCGCAGCGAGCAGGGAAAACATCAGGTCCTGAGACTGTAGAGGATGGACAAGCAGTGGGACCTCCTTCCACCCTGTCCAGTTAGTCAACAAGGGAGAGAGGCTTCCTCAGACCAAAAATAGCTCTTGCACTGCATATTCTATCCCTTTCTGCTCCCCAAACCCTCTTGGCACTTCAAACGATGGACTGACTACAGCAACTCCACTTTTACTGGAATATCCCTGACCCTAGTTTTCAAAATAATGCTAGAAGTGATTGTGAATATGCAGTTAGGCTCTGAAGCGATTGCTCTAGAAAGTTTTTTAAAAAATCACTAAAGTTCAGTAGAGAATTTTCAAGTTCTCAGCTTCTAATTATATTAACTTTGAGATTGTTTTTCCTCTCTCAGTGCAGCTCAGAGCTGCTACTGCATCAAATTTGTGCAGCAAAAAGTAGGATTTTTTTAGTTGAAAACAGTATTTTACATACTTTTTCTTCTTCTTCTGCTTCTAGTTCTTTCTGTTTCTTTTCCTCTTCTCTTCGTGTTTTCATTTGATCCACTGTTTCATTTAATTTCTCCTGTACTGCAGAGACTAGAGTGAAGATCATTACCATTCCCAAATTCTCTTCTGCCTGCAACATAAAGAAAGAAGACTCAAACAGAAGCAGTGTCCAGCCTTCAGTAACTGAATGCATGCATCTATTTGGAAAGCATGATGTCGTGCCAATGTAAATAACACAACTGAGGCATTCTGCTCCAGTTTCAAAAGTCCACTGTCAAATCTAAGTCAAAATGAGCCCGAAATGGGTGGGCAGCAAAGCACTAACAATGATCTCTGTGTTCAGATATCAGCATCTTCTGGACTATAAGAAGGTTTTTTCCATGGATAAAACAAAGTCTACAGTAGGATCACAACTCCAAGAACTGAATATCATAGATCTTAGAGACGGCAGAAACTCAGAGCCTCCCTTCTTTTGAATAGCTTACTCCTTAATCCCAAATTCATGTCCCTTTGAAGTGGGATGGTTTCCAATGGAAAAGAGGCAAAAAAGCAGTTGTTGGAAGGAAGGTTACAGAAAACATTGTAAATTGAAAACCAGAAACATATCTGTAGACCAGGATGTGCCAATTTTGAGGCAGGGATGACTTCTAAAGAATTCCTGCATCCAAATAGGCGTTTCCTACATATTTCTTCACAATGCACAATCACTAGTCCAGATTTTCACAAATACTGTAACACAACTGAATAAATTCGTGTTAAGCTAGAACTGCAAAAGAGGGGATGCCCCAGAGCTCTTCCCTTTCATCCCTGTATCTGTGCACCCTGACTTATCTCTATTGTATCTCATTAATGCATGTTTCTACAGGGAAACTGGAAGAAAATAAATGCCACTCCTATCTTCAAGGAGAAAGACACAAGAAACTACAGGCCATTCAGCCTTACTTTGATCTCTAGGATGGTGATGGAGCAGCTAATCCAGGATACTATTTCCAGGCACGTGAAAGACAGGAAGGTGACTAGGAGCAATTATTCTATATTTAAAATGGGGAAATCATCCTTAAGCAACTGATAAACTTCTATGAAGAGAAGACTGTTTGGGTGGATGAAGGGAGAGCAGCGAATGCTGTTTAGCCAACAAGGCTCTCATAACATCATCAGAGAAGCTGATGAAATACAAGTTAGATACCTGTTCAGAAAGATGGACTCAAAATTGGCTGAATTGTTGGGCTTCCATGGTTGTTATCAGTGGCATGAAGTGCAGCTGGTGCCCAGCTGCTGCTGGTGTGCCCCACTGGTTGGTACCACTGTGTTGAAGAGGTCTAACCTCTTCATTAGTGCCCTGGATGATCAGACTGAACGCATTCTCAGCAAGGCTGCTGATAATACAAAACTGTAAGGAGTGACTGGTATACCAGAAGGTTGTACTGCTGTTCAGAAAGACCTTGTTAGGCTGCAGAGATGGGGCAGAGAGGAACTTCATGCAGTTCAACAAAGGGGACTGCAAAGTCCTGTACCTGGAGATGAATAACCCCAGGCACTAGTACAGATTGTGGGTTGACCAGCTGGAGAGCAGCTTTGCAGATGAAGTCCTGGTGGACAACTCATTGACCATGAGTCAGCAGTGTGCTCTTGCAGAAAAAAGGGAGGGGAAAGGAGGGGAAGGGAGAAAGGAAAAAGACCAATGGTACTGCACCAGGCATAACATCGCTAGCAGGTTGACGGAGAGGTGACCCTTCTCCTCTGCTACAGGGAATATGGGTATCTAGTGCTGGGCCTCCCAAGAGCAAAAAAGACATGGACTTAATGGATCTAGTCCACAGAAGGACAGCAAAGATGAGTATAGGAGCCTGGAGAAGTGAAGACTTAAGGGAGATCTGATCAATGTGTGTAGGTATCTGAAGGAAGGATATAAACAGGGTCTGGGGTCAGACTCTTCACAGTGATGCTCAGTGACAAGGTGAAAGGCAATGAAACACTAGAAAACTCTCATTTACTATGATGGTGGTTTATCACTGGTGTAAGTTGCCCGGAGACGATATGTATCCTCCACCCCTAGAGATGTTCAAAATCCTGCCTGAATGTGGTCCCAGGCAACCTGCTCTAGCTGACCCTGGTTGAGCAGAGAGGTTGGACCAAATGATGTCCAGAAGTACCTGGACATAACAATTCCAAAAGCAGATCTGAATTTTGACTGTCACTTAGCAAGCTCAAAAATCAAAATGAGTCCCTCCAGTAAGGAATAGATTTCAAATCAATAGGACATTATCTCAGAAAATAACGGACTACAGGGATAAATCCTGAACAATGAAATGATATCAGGAAGAACTGAAATACTTTATTTTCCTTACCTGTTGTTCTAGTAGTTTTATTATATCCGTGACATCATTATCTTCAAGATTCTCCTGGGAGACTATTTCGTAAAGTGGAGTTTCATCAGGATATTTTTCTCTATATGTAAATTTAAGAGTAGTCTGAACAGCTATAGGACAAAAAAACAGATATTCTTAAGAAAACTTCATAATTTTAACTATTTTTTTCTAGTGCATCATCAGCCTAATAACAAATCAAAGATTTTAATATAGAACTAAATAATGTCTTAAAGCAACAGACATCTTACACAAAGGTTAATACTACATGAACTGATTTAAACATGATAAAACAGTAGTGAAAAGTTAAGATACTTTTTTAAGGGAAAACTTTACTACCTATTCATCTCTGAAAGGACTTTAGAAAATCTGGTAAACTATGTGGTGTGGTGGGTCCTTGAACAACAATCTCTTTGCATCCCCCACCCCACTTAAAGCTGGAAAGAAAGCAGAGTCCTATGAAACAGATCTAGGAAAAACTTCAGCATATTAATGCTTTAAACTATGGGCATCTGGCTGGAGTACCAACCACCCTGTCAGGTACCTGGACTTCACATACAGCATACAATAAGTACCCTGTATCCAGTGAGAACTGCCTAAGAAGAACACACTCAACGTGAAGCCACCCAATGCTAGGACAACAAGGAAGAAACATCAAAAAGAATCGTATTTCATCTCCTCATGTGTCCTGCCTAGGATACCAATGAGAAGACCTCCTTCAGCTCAGGACTTACAGCGTGGGCTGTCCAGCAGTCTACTCAAAGCAGACATCAATTCTGAGCAGGGCTTGTTCTTTTAAAACCCAAAGAGACAGTAGCAGTTTCTTCCTTTTATCAGTAATTCAGAACAGCAGCTCCCAAAATTACCTAGAGTGATGCTTGCTTAAAACAAGCCCATATTATTATTTTAAACAGGTACAAAGACACCAAATGCTTAGAGAGGAACTTTGGACCCGTAGTTCTTCATTCAGGAACTGTTCCTTAGGAGCTACTGATTTGTCCAAGCGCGATACATGATTCAACTCCCTCATATGGCTGCAGTACATGAAATTGCTAGAAGATCACCTGATGACATGGCTGTAAGATACTACAGGTTGTTGACAACTACTCTTTTTGAAACTGTACTGTAAAGAATTTGAGATTGAGCATATCAGAAATCAGAAGCAGCAAAACAGAACACAACCCCACAGAGCAGAGCTCAGGTATTTGCAACAACACTTTTGCAAAATGAACACAGACCATCAGTGTGATTATTTTCTTGGGAATGCCTGCTGAATCACGCCTCTCAAAGGGCTTAATTAGAGACTCGGATAATTCTTGGTTACAGAATTAGGCTTATGCAGAAACTAGGTACATAGCTATTCATCTCTATCCCAGCTGAGACTATCCTAGTTACAAGCACACATAAGAGCACAGTGTACTA